ATAAGAAGATATCAAAGATATCTGAGTGTTTAACAGAAAACTCAAACAACCAATTTTCAGATCAGGAAGCAGAAGCAGCTGGAATCACCTGTGAGGGTGAGTGTCATGTGCCCTTTGACCTTGTTGCTGTGTGTAACTGTTATAAGTAATTACACATGTGTAGCAAATGATGGTGCTTTCCCAAAGTAAACATACTAAAATATAATAAAATGCTAGAACCAGGAAAAAGACATTTTCATTCACTGATATCAGTCAGAAGAAAATGTGTTTTTTTCCCACTGCTTAGTTACATGCTTCTATTTAGTAAATCATCCAGTCCAATGTCTAAATACACTTACCTGTGAAAATCCAACTAGAAACCCAAATAAACAATTTCTCTTTTGTGAAAAAGTCATTAGGCTTTTTTGGGTGCCAAATGTCTTTGTCGGTAGATTAGCAGACTAATTACAGACAAAGCCTCTCACACCTTGGCCAATAGAATAGAATAGTCTTTTATTGTCATTGTGAATTTAACACAAAATTGTGGGGGCTCCTCGCCAAGTGTGCAGAAATAAAATATAAATAGAAAGACAACAGGAATAAATAACAAGCCTGCTTCATTGCTTTTAATGTCTTTAAATTTCCTTCATCTTAATTCTAAAAAAAATCTGAGGTTGTCAGTTGTTACAGTAAAACCGAATCATCATTTAAGAGCCTCCGTATCATTTTTGGTACTGATTTGAAATTTGAATCTCACATCTCAACGCTCACCCAGTCTATTTTTCTCATTTAATTAGGAAACATCACACATTTCAGACCCTTACTGACACTTAGCATTGTGGAACTTATTGCACGTTTTAATTTTCTGCCGTCTTGAGTACTGTGCCTCACTTGTCACATGCACCTCTCGGTCCTCTTTAGCTCGTGTTTAGCTGGTCCAGAATGCAGCACCTACGCTGCAAACAAATCTAGCTGGTGCTCATACATATATATAATGCTTTTCTACTCCGTTAGAGCACTCAGAGTGTGTTTTGCTGAAAGTAGTAGAGAATCATTATTCTGCTCAGCTATCAGCAAAGACATTCAGTCAAAGCACTTTTTACTACAAGCCCAATTCACCCAGTCACAAGCACACATTCATGCAGTGCTTTAATCCTGTGTCTAAGGGCTTTGTCTAACATTCACGCATGAACGAATGACCTTTCAACAGGTAGACAACCTGCACAGCCACTTACTGTATATCATGTTTCTCTCTTTGTGTCCATCAGGTC